TCAATATTTCGCGGCATTATTGTGAGAATAGTAGGGGAAATAGACAGATCTTGATTGTTTCCCCGCCCCAGTGTTTAGTTTGCAGTTGAATAGTACACAGTGCAGGTGTTATTAAAACATAAGGCATAATTATTTTGAGGTAGGTCATTACCAAAAAGGGGGAGATTCCATGCACGCCTTAATAGAGCGACGTAAAAAGAACCAAACAGTTTTTATTCCCGAGCAATGGATAAGCTCAGTAACATGTACAATAACAACAGGTAAACCGTATTTGGTAACTGAACTGCACAAAGACAATATATTTGATTTTAAACAACTTACGACAACATTTCCAAATTGGTATATAAATGAAGAAAATGAAAAAATGGTCTGTTTTCATATCCGATAAAAAAATTAAGTTAAAGTTGCTACAGAAACCTATCTCCAGGAAACAAACAGGTTACCAACTTCTAGTAAAGGTCTTTCTAAGAATCAACATCTAGCATATTCATCTAGGGATAACAAAAGCAAAATATGATAATCTGCAGAGTTTATGTCGAAGCCAGTGCATTCCTGTCACTTACCACGATTATTTTAAAAATCTCCCAGTTGATTGCAAAAATATTAATCAAGACAGCGATATGGAAGACTAGACATAAAATAAATATGTTCATTTTAAATTTAATTCGAATACAACGAGCAATAATTTGAAATTCATGACTTTCGATTTGAAATTCAAAACTTTTCCGATGAGAACATCGTAAATGCAGTTACAAGATTATTCGATGAAACTTTTTATATTTATATTAAAAGCTGTAACTGCCACAGTTAACAGTTAACAGTTAAAGAGGAGTTCAACATTTGTAGAACTACTTACTTCTTACACTGAAAAAATGTCACATACATATAAAAAAAAGAAATTTGTATCTCTTTTATCAATTCTGAAGAATATCATAAATGCTGGTTACAACGTTATTCTTTGCAGGGGTCGATTTATATTCTCGTTATTTAGTTAATAGTTGATAATAACACGTGTTTTGAACCGGGCTAGTGATATAAGCAATTTTGGTGGTTTTACGATTATTTCGCTATGGCAGGTAATTTTATTTTTTATTTACAATATTAAAAACCTTTGTATGTATGATTAATACTTCCTATTACTTTTCACTTTACAATACTTTACTTTTCACTAAAGTTTTCACTTTACAATAAGTATATTGAAGATATAAAATGCCGGTTTTATCCTGAAACCATTAGGAAACTAGATAAAATATGTACTTATTTTTGCTATTTCAGTAAAATAGTATATCCATTCAGAGAACTAAATAATATGTCGTCGGGTTGTCTATTCACATTATTAAATAACATTCCTTCAGATGGCGAGTCAGATGAATCGAGTAGTGACGAAGAGGATTTGCTTGACATTGCGAATATGCCAATATTACTTGAATATGACCAGCCAGACCAACATTCAAGAATTCAGAGAGTATTTATGATGATGAAGCCTTCCCGGATGACGACAACAATATTCCCCCTTCTACTTTGAGGGATATAGAATTAGCTGAAAGAACAACCTAGTCTAATTCAGCAGCATCTTGTGTTACTAACATGAAGCAGTTCTCTGAGGAAACCGGTCCTAAAATTGCAGATGATATGGAGGAGCCAGGAGATTTGTTTTACACTTGTTCCCTGGTACTCTAATTGACAAAATTGTATTCGAAACAAACCTCTACGCTCTTTAGAAACGTGGTGGAGACTCTTCATTTACACCAACTTCTGTTTAATATATTGATGGGAATCAAAAGGTTGCCAAGTTATGTCGATTACTGGTCATCTAGAGAGGAACTACGAGATCACTAGATAACTTCAGCTATGTCTAGAGAGCGATTTGCTTAGCATCTAGGAAGCGTACATTTAGCAGATAATTCGGTGATGCCTCGTCGCGATTCTCCAAATTATGACAAATTGTATAAAATTTGCCATTTATTGATTATTTATACTTTATTAGAAACATTTCGTTCCTCATGTAGCCCTTCAAAACATCAATCCATAGGTGAATCTATGATTTTTTTCGGGGGTGGTGGTTGTCTAAAACAATTTTTTTCTCTAGAAACCATCAAGAGGGGTTATAAAGTTTGGGCTCGATCTGACGAGAATGTATATATTTGTCAATTTCAAATATATGTTGGAAAAATAAAGCAGCTTACGAAGCGCTCGGCACAATCCAAAAGAACAAAAAGAATACTCCATTGTGGTGGACAAATGACATCGCCAATGCAGTACACAACAAGAAACAAGCATATCAAAAGTGGCTGCAAACAAATGATCCAGATGATAGACGAACATATGCAAGATTAAACAGAGAAGTAAAAAACTTAGTAACTAAAGCAAAAAATATTTCCTGGGAAAGTAAATGCGAAGAACTCAACAAATATATAGGGTCAACAAGATCAAGAGAAGCATGGAAAACGGTAAAAAATCTAAGAACAAACAGAAAAGAAACGAGTAGAATAGATTTAATAGAAGCAAAATCTTGGATCGAACACTACTCACAACTTTTAACTGAAACAAGACCTCAATTCATGAACATCAGTACAACAACATATGAACTGGAATTCAGTGAAGAAGATGAAATAACCGTACAGGAAGTCGAGAATGCAATACGAACTCTAAAAAATGGGAAGTCATGCGGACCACAAGGTATACCAAATGAATTATTAAAACATAGCCCACAAGTATTACGGGAATTACTGGCGTATGTCTTCACCTTATTCTATAATGGACACGACTTACCACCGGAGTGGACAAAAGCACATATTAACAACATATACAAACAAGGAGATAGAAAGAATTGTTCAAACTATAGGGGGCTAAGTGTCATAAATTCACTCTCAAGACTGTATGGAAAAATAATAAAAAATAAAATTGAAAAAGAGATGACAGATGTAGAAGAACAGAATGGCTTTCGTGCAGGCAGATTCTGCATGGACAGTATATTCTCTCTAAAGCAAGTTATCGAAAAAAGATTAGCCCACAACCTTTCAACTCATATAGTCTTTATAGATCTGACAAAGGCATACGATAGTGTACCACTTTCAATGCTTTGGGTAGCAATGGAAAAACAAGGAATAAGCAAAAAAAATATACAAGCAGTACAACAGCTCTACAAAAATATGACGGCAAACATTAAAACTGGAAATAGATTAACTAGAGAAATTCCTATTAGTAAGGGCCTAAAGCAAGGCTGCTGCATAGCACCTACACTCTTCAAAATATATCTAAATGAGGCACTCTCACTGTGGAGAAGAAAGTGCTGCAATATGGGCATCCCAATCGGAGATGATAGATTGTACACGATACATTTCGCTGATGACCAAGCCATTCTAGCTGAAGACGAGAGTGATATAAGCTACATGCTTAGAAAACTGGAAGATGAGTACACCAAATGGGGCCTCACAATTAATATACATAAAACTGAGTACTTAGTGGTAGGAGAACAACCAGAAAGCCTACAAATCGAAATGGGAACTATAAAACCAACAGACAATTTTAAGTACTTGGGAGTCCAAATAACATCAAAAGCAGGAAGTAGCGAAGAAATACATTCCAGGATTGGCCAAGCAAGATCAGCCACCAGACAGCTACACGGACTATTATGGAATAAAAAAATAACAAAAGAAAATAAAAGAAGAATTTATAAAACAATAATAGAAAGTATTGGACTGTATGGCGCCGAACTCTGGGAAATAAACCAAAGAAACAAATTAAAAATTAAGGCCATGGAAATGAACTACTGGAGACGATGTTGCCAGCTCACTAGACTTGATAGGGTGAGAAATGAAGATATTCGGAGAGAAATGGAAATCGATCTAGACATAATAGGCACAATCGAAGCCAAAAGACTTAACTGGTATGGACACCTTCAGAGAATGCCGGAAAATAGATGGCCAAAAAAAAATAGAAGAATGGACTCCGCCAACTAGAAGAAAACGAGGTAGACCAAGACGATCCTGGAGAGACGATGTCGACGATGCAATGACCGCCAGAGATCTAACAACTGAAGATTGCTTCGACAGAAAACGCTGGAAATTAGGATGCGAGAAGCGGCGCCAGCTGTAGAAGACTGGTATCAGGAAAGATAGACTGGTGTTTGTAAAGTGGAGAGACCGGAAAGTAGTGCATTTTTTGGAAAATCAAAACCCTTCAGAAGAAGCAGCTGTTTCCCGCAAGTAAAAAGAGAAAAAACACTAGTAAGGATCCTCACCTAACCAGGTGGGAGTGTGCGACATGTAAGGTTAGATTGTACCTCAAAAAAGAGCTGATTTTCGTGGTATCATAAAAAGTAACCTACGTTTTACACTATTATATTATTTAGTTATCAGATTTTTATTTGCTTAAGAAAAATTATTTAATTATTAATGTAAGATTATTTAATTTTTACCTCAGTTTTCGACTTTAAAAGTTTTCAGGAAACAAAGGGTAAACATAAATAATAAACTTTCTGTAAAATGCATTGTTAATTTGATGATCTTGTTCTTCACTCCTTTAGAATATTACATTATTTTTGGTTATTTGTTACATTTTATTTATTGTGAAAAAACACATGTCACTTTGTTATACTCATTGTGGGTGACAGACGGAATAAGTCAATCAAAACTCGGAAAAAATGTATATTTGTAATTGATTTTCTATAATTTAATGTAATGACATTTAATGTAATACATTAAATCACATTATCAAGTTATAAAATTTTATTAATGGGTGCTTCATAATGTAGGAATCAATCAGTTTTTACGTTCTCCTGAAAAGTTGCCGTTTTTAACTTGTGTTTATTCGCATCACCCATAGATTTATAATAGCATTTATTTTCATTATTTTTGTATCAGGTATTATGTGTACAAAGGTAAAACTAACATAATAGATTTAAAGAAATATTAAAAAACACAAGGTTATCTTATAGATTTTCCCCAAAATAACTATAATACATGATATTATGCAGTAGTTTTGTTTTGTTTACTTACTTTCTTGCTAATGATATATGTTGTCGTGTTTGTGGAATCCACCTGCTGTCCTTCAATACAAGCAACTACGAAAAAATATACGATAATACACTGTGTGCAAAGGTTCATCATATCCATGTTAGCTACTAAAAATAAAAAAAGGACAATACTTTGCCGCCACGTGTGTTTTTAACAATCCAAATTTATTTATAAATAGATATCCGTAGAAACACTTAAATGAAAACTCAATACCACAAAAAGGAGTAAAAGGAAAAGGTATTCACTTTTGAAGATTTCACAATATTTTTTAAAGGGATTATTGTGTTGTTTAAATCAATACCGATATTACCACATAGATATAATTCGATTTCAATGGCAAGAATTCATCATATAGAAATTCGTAAAATAATGATAAATTTATATCGCGATAAGATAATCACTAGCCCGTGAATTTGGGTGAACAAGTTGTATCATTCATTTAACTGTAAAAACTACTCTCGCCTTTCTCGTTTACCGGGCGTCGATTAACTAATACTAAATAAAATACAGAACGCATTTTGGCTCGCTCAACTCGGCTACGACACGCTTGAACATTTTTAATTCAATGAGATTGGATGGGAATTCCCATTCTTGAGATATGCAATGAGTAAGCGCGAGTTTGTTGACAGCGCAATGGGAGGAGCACTGACGTTCTGATCGACGGCCATGTACTTTTTAAATTTTTACCGAAAATATTTTGGACTTAAATTTAAACAAAAGTGTTTTAAAATCAATTTCTATTTGGCAAATTATACAGGCCGACAAAATTTGACCAATACTCATAACAAGAGATTAGAATATACTTTTCGCAAGGTTTTTTGTACGTAGAATCCGAACCTCAGCTCCAAATTGCCAAATTTTTCTGATTTTTGAGATATCGTAACCTAAAAGTACAAAAATAGCGGTTTTTGGCAGTTTCTGAGATTATGTAGCATCCCTCATAGCACACGTACGTCCAGTGGACGTCCATAGTACGTCCCTTACGGACTTTAAGGACGTCCCTCGAACGTCCGCTTTGGTCCTATTTACGTCCGTTTAACGTCCTATATTGGTCCGAATGTCGCTGCGCCGAATGTCTTATGGACGTCCATTTTACGTCCCGGGCGGACGTTAGTTGGACGTACCGGGACGTTCATCATTATCAATCAGCCAATCGCGTCCACTGCTGGACATAGGCCTCCCTCAGTTCTTTCCAGTGTTCTCTACACTGGGCTGCTTGTAGCCAGTTTCCCGCTACACGTTTAATGTCATCGGTCCATCTAGTCGGTGGTCGTCCTCGGCTTCTTTTATAATTTCTGGGCCTCCATTCCGTAATACGTCTTGTCCACCGTCCATCTTGTGTTCTGGCTAAGTGCCCTGCCCAGTTCCACTTAAGCGTCGTGGTTCTTTCGATGACGTCTTGAACTCCTGATCTTCGCCTGATTGGTTGGTTTGTTATGTGGTCTCGAAGCCTCACGTTCAGCATTGCACGTTCCATGGCTCGCTGTGTAACTCTGAGTTTATTCGCAGATTTTTGCGTGAGTGTTAAAGTCTCTGGGGAGGGACCGGGACGTTAATTGGACCTTAATCGGACGTCCATAATATTTCTGGAGGACTTACTTGACGGACTTTTGTGATGTTCTCGGACGTCTATTACAGGTGTCATCCTGTGTATATTAAGAATGTATTTTGGGAAATAAAACTTAAATGTTTAAATGAACTTACATTTATTTATATCTATTTATTATTAACAAACGGGACAAATCCACTGTCAAATTATACAAAAATGCAACATTATAGAAATATAAAATAATTTTGAGTAATAAAACATAAATGTTTAAAGGAACTAACATTTATTATTACATATATTTATTTATTAATAACAAATGGAACTAATTCACTGTCAAAATTATACAAAAATGCAACATTATAGAAATATACACACAGATAAAAATGAAATATATGAATAAAATATATAAGTACACATTTATAAAAAGTTTCATTTTGCATTTTAGTGCTTCAAATAGTACCTAAAGCTATTGATACAAAAGTTTCAGACCATACCTATGTGTGAACCATAATTAGTTCTGCGGTAAAGAACATGGAAATGTAATTCTGACGCAGTGAATGGGGAGGGATATAAAAACAAACTAGCTGAAGCAATTCAGGAGATTGGTTATTTTATGAACAAGTATAAAAATAAAGATAAAAAAGTAACACTTTTGATAAGAGAATCCAGATTCAAGAAATTGTTCATACCAGAATAAGAATATCTACACCATTTACAAGAACAGTAAATGCTTATTGAACAAATTCCCCTTCGTTGGCTCAGTGAAGATGTTCGTTTAGTTGTAATGGAAACACAAAATAATAGTAGCAGAGTTTATTGACGAGACGTACACTATGGGTGTTGACCCGGGATTACTTTGAGTAGAGACTGTTGCAGTTGAGCGTTGAAGACTATCACGTTTGTTGAGTGAATATTGATTGAATGCTTCTCTAGGCAAGAGATTTTAGTTTTATATAAGTTTTAATTGGGTCAATATATACACGGACCTAATGACATGTGTTTAAGTTGTGTCTAAATTGTTTAACTTTCGTCAGCACTTTCGACTGATGTCCAAATTTTATTGTTGATAATTGACCAAATCTAATGTAACCTAATTAACTACGTGTGTGTATTTAATAACAAATAAATTCATTCGGTCTACTGGGTGATAAAATTATACTGTCCAATTTCGGATATGAATTCTGAAGATTTGATATTGGACATACTGCGGAATCGGGCAATCTGGCCCAAGTGTCAATACTCAAAGTTTACATATAAGTATTACCTACATAACATAGTAAAATTCAAACATGATAAATTATAAATAGTTTAAGAATAATCAATAATCTTCCAACCGTACCCTAGCTATCAATGTCCGACTCTATCTCTAGATTAAAATTAGGGCAATTGGATGAAAATGTGGAGAGTGGGATGTCGACTTGGGAAGTCGACGGTATATTGTTGTGCCGATTTTTAACTAATACAGGTACTTCCTGTTCGTTAGTCTGAGTTTGTGGATTACCTGAACGACATAGTCGTGCAACAGGACGGTACTTCCATAACGTGAGTATCCCAATTATTACCATTATAGTAATGGTCCCGGTGGCCTCAAAATAATGCCAATTAGATTCGTGAGTCGATCGCCACTGCGTATGCGTCATTTCTTATTCCAGACTCTCCTCCTCAAGTAACACATGACGTAGCTCTCCTCCTGGTATGTCAAGGTAGGTGTTTAAAGGATTGTTACTTGCGGGGTGTCCTCGCCACCAGTTGGGCCACGGGAGTGATTGGCGACTTCAGGTAACTCGTCACCGCTCTGTATATCCCACTGCTAGTGGGGAGTAATGTAATATTTTTCGTATGGGCGATACATTTGGGTGAAAGCTTCAGGAATGTGACTCGTTCCAATACTCTTTCGCTCCGATTTCTATCGCAAATAATTTTTATGTGTATCGTGACTGGCGTGACAACTAGCCAGAGGTTGGGAGTACCCATCTTACTCCATTGAGCTGTCTGTATTGTCCTGGCTACCAGTGGACATGTGCTATTCTTAGATCGCTCATAAATTTCTTCAAGTATGCAATTTGGGTGGGTATCCATGTTTCTTATAGCCGTTGCCACGCTATCTGCGCCCTTGTCAACAGTAAGCACCTTTCTCTATCTTCCGCGGTCAATTCGAAGTAGTGCAGGGTGTTACATTCTACGACCAGTAGATTCCTTGTGGCTACAAATGTGCGCAACACCGACCCCTCAATGTTAAGTGGTATGTCCGTGACTTTGAGCATGCTGTACTTATTTTTCCATGTCACTATGAAGTAGCCGATGACTATTATAAATCTGTCGTCATGACTGACTTCTGTTTCTATAATAGGTTGTCGACGTATTTCGATCCTTTGAGGCAATATCTGCCCTGCTTTCTCTATTAATTTGGTTATTTCACCCGGTTTGACTATATCAATGAAGTTTCCGTGGTTATAGTGAAGGTTTAGTATTCCCTCGTAAAATTGAGTATATTCGTTTATGAACTCCATAACTTGTAATGCTATCGTTTGTATTCGTAACGTGCTATATTCGGTTTCTAGTCTTGGTGCTTTGTCTTCTACTTCGTTAAGTCCTGTAGATATTTCTTGTAGACCTGTGATTGGTGCTTTGTTAAACTTGTTCATTTGCTCGTTTATCCTGTTCTCTGTGTGGTTGATTGATGTTATTGTTTCTAACATTATCTTCGCCTGGTGCTGTGATCCCTTTATTAGCTCCTTTTGGTTATTATCTAATGCTTCAATGTTACTGTAGGCTTCGTCATTGACTCCAAATACTGAGGTTAATATTGTTCCTAATATTCCTCTTCTTTCCCTTCCTTTTATTTCTACTGTCAACCCCTCGCTTACTGACTCCGCCTTTCTTTGTCCTTCCTCTAACTTCCCTATTATATCTTTACAATTCACGATTTTTATCTCCTGACACAGTTCTCGTAAGCCTTGTATCATATTTCCTATTAGTTGGTGCTCTGCTTGAATTCTTCCTTTTTCGAGTAACACCTTTATTCGAAATGTTCCCCGGTCTATGACGACCTCTCCTTCGTATATTTTGAAGCCAGAAAATGCATCTTCTAGTACAGTAATCTCTTACCATTTACCTTCCCTTGGAGAATCAGCTGGAGAAGGCCGTAACGTTCTTGATTTTTCATTACATGCTCTAGACATTCCAACTTTTTAGTTTTGACGGTCATGAGAATTTCACATTCTTTCCCCATTTTACGCAGGACCTCAACATTAGTAACTTTGTCAACTCAGGATATACGTAAGATGCGCCTATAATGTTGCCGAGAGGGGGCATTTGGGCCTGTGGGACCCATCGCCGGCTCTTCGGGCTTCTTCCTATCGCCGGAATTTGAACGGGTATTGACCATCTCTGATTTGCCGCTGATATAAGTGTTAAATACCACTGCTGTTATAAATAACAGTTCCAGTGACAAATATTTGTTGTAGGTAACGGTTCCAAGGAACAGTTACAAAGTAACAGAGCAAAGATGGAAAACAGATAGGTAAAAATAATCTAAGTATTCCTTGACTTACGGAAGAAATAACTTAGTAAAAAACAAGTAAATCAAAATGGTATAAAAAAAAATATAATGCAAGAGAAATGTTCCTAAGTGTTTCTTGACTTACGGAAGAGACAACTTAGAGTGAAAAGTAAAATACACAAGAATAAAAGAACAGAAAAGTGCAGAAATATTCCTAAGTGTTTCTTGACTTAGGAAAGAAACAACTTAAGACAGAAATATAGATAAATGAAATATGTAAATATGAAACAATGTATGGAAATATTTCTAAGTGTTTCTTAGAACAGAAAACAAACAAGAGAATCAAATATAGTAAAATAAGAATACAAATATTTGTAAGTGTTTCTTGACTTACGGAAGAAACAACTTATAATAGAAAATAAGAAAATCAAATACAAAAA